AATAATAATATATAGTCCTGCCCGAAGTGGGATTTGAACACCAACGTTGTAACACACTCACAACCCCCAAATTCCAAAGCACATTCTTTTCGGCAATAGAACTTGAGGCACGGGTTCTCCGATTCATGTTGCAGCATGCTAACCAGTAAGCCATATCCAGCCTTCCTAACACATAAAATAAAATTCAAGGACAATAAGGAGCATGCAGGCCAACTGAGACTGTCCCCTCTGTTCAACTGAACAAAACTTTTAAAAAAAAATTGTAATAATATAAAATAAAGAAAAAAATAACAATAAACTGTGAGGTAGCAATTTCTATGTAGGTTTTTAATCATGGTTTTGTTTATTGGTTATGTATTTTTCCAGCTATCATTTGATTCGTGTATATTTATTAGTTGTTTGCCTTAGACGCTAGCTAACCTGCCTTCTGTTAACCAATAAATATTAAAGATAGCGCTTGTATATTAAGATATCAAGAAAAGGTTTCCCCCTTGTGGTGATATATACTAAAACCATGATTAGTTATGTAAAAGAAATGTTAATTAGTTATTCATGTGACATGTAATCTTGTCATCTGACAAGACAATAAAAAGCCTTATGAGAGAAGAGGAAATGGAAATGTTAGGTTTGAGATTTGTCAAACTGTTATAAACAAGATATTTGATTTCTTAAAAATTGTTTGGTTGATTTCAAGTACTAGTTTGATTTGTTTGTAGATAAGCTCAAAGCTACACAATGAGCTGTCTGTGCTCTGCCCACATAGGGTATTGAAATCAAATTTTTAATACCTGTAAGCTTGCAGACTTATCACTGAGCCACTGGGGGTCTATTTATGATTTATATCCGACTGTATATTTATCATTTAATATTATCCACAATCCGACTGTATATTTATCATTTAATATTATCCACAATCCGACTGTATATTTATCATTTAATATTATCCACAATCCGACTGTATATTTATCATTTAATATTATCCACAATCCGACTGTATATTTATCGTTTAATATTATCCACACTCCGACTGTATATTTATCGTTTAATATTATCCACACTCCGACTGTATATTTATCGTTTAATATTATCCACAATCCGACTGTATATTTATTGTTTAATATTATCCACAATCCGACTGTATATTTATCATTTAATATTATCCACAATCCGACTGTATATTTATCATTTAATATTATCACAATCCGACTGTATATTTATCATTTAATATTATCTACAATCCGACTGTATATTTATCATTTAATATTATTTCTTAGAGGGCGTTTTGTATTGTTGTTATGAATAACTTTAGGAATTAGGTTTTCTTCTTTAGCAGATTCTGCTTATATTTCTCTTGATTCTATATTATTATCATCATTATTTTATTATCTTAATATTAACAACTCTGCTTCTTGTATTTTCTGGATATTGGTATCTGTATTTGGATGTTGTAAATAAACAACTCGAAGTCTTGGCCAAGTACTCTTATTAGTGTTTAATATTTTGTAAAACTTTTCTTTTTTCTTGTACCTTGGAAGTAACTTGGTTATTTGATAGCTAATAATAAATAATGAACACACGCCAGCACTTATCTAAATATTTCTTTCCCTTAAATTTAATGAATCTACTACCTCTAAAGGCAATTCATTTCAAAGTTCAACCATCCTGTTAGAAAAATTAAACTGTCTTAGTTGAAGACAGCTAAAATTTATGCTTTTCTATACCCTTGTCCTACCATTTTCACCATTAACTATGAAAAAAGACTATGCCTCCTGCCTTGGTACTATCAATCTCTAAATAAACTTGAATACTTTAATCAGGTGCCCTCTAATTCTTTCCTCATATCACAACACCCCAGGGATCATCCTAATAGTCCTGCTCTGAACCCTTTCCAACAATTTAATGCTTTTCTTATGGTAAGGAGTTCAAGACCAGGGGTCGATTTAAGCCTAAGTGCTTAGTCAGCTAAAAGAAGAAAAAAAATGGGGCCCGGTGGGCTCTATTCATAGCAGTACTATACAGCAAGTGAAAGCAAATAGAGCAATATTTCTGTAAATATAACCTAAAATCGTATTAGCCCTACTATTAGCAACAACATACTACTTGACTGGCTTAGAAGACTGAGCAATCAGAACACCAACATCCTTTTCTTCCATAACACTGTTATTCCCATCAAAATTATACTTATTAAACTATGATAATCCACATGCAAAATTACCTTGCATTTATTATCATTAAAAGCCATCTTCCACTTATCTGCCCAACTCACCAAACAATCTAAATCCTTTTGTAAAGCAGTAATATTCTCATCATAGTCAGCAACACCAAAACCTTAATATCATCAGCAAATGTGAGCACCTTATTAACTATTCCTTCATCTATGTCACTGATGTTTGCTCATTTTTTATTTAATTAATGTGGGGTACCTCAGGGCTCGGACCCCAGTTTGACCGAACTCCATTTATAACAACCACCTGCTGCTTCCATCCAACCATTTTTTTGAGCAAATGTATCCTCCCCACACCTAAAAAGATAATTTTTAACAACCTTTTTCTATGGCATCTTAACAAATGCTTTCTGAATATAAAGATTCACTAAATCCACACCCTCACCTTCATCTATATAAGTAATAACTTCTTCAAAAAATGTCAAAAGATTTGTAAGGCAAGAGTTTTCCTCCCCAAGTGAAACCATACTGACTATCTAATAAAATATGAAACCTTGTTAAATAGATTTGCAAAGCATCTTTTATCAGACTTTCAAAACTTTTTCACACCATTGAATTAACTAGATAATTTTTATCACCTCCTTCGAAAAGAGGAGCAACATTAGCTAACTTCCAATCTTCTTGCACCTGTCCATTATATGAGGACTTACAAAAAATATTAGTAAGTGATTCATATATACACTCCTTAACCTCCTTCACAGGAAATATTATCTGGTCTGGAAGACTTATCATTCTTTAAACTTTCCAATATTTAATCAACAAGCTCGTAGTTAATGTGATCACATTATTCCATCATGTTTCCA